GACAATGACATGATGCCATTCATAGAATTAGAGAACACAGAAGTAAGGGTATTGTTAAAGTATTTAAACAAGGAGGCCATTAGACTGAGGTGGCTCTAATGCCTTGGTAGCCTACATAAGTGAACCAAAACCTAAGCCAGAGTCAATGCACTCAAATCTGAGAAAGTAAAACTTAACAAACAACTAATCACAAATAACTAACTAGGCTTTCCCAAAAAAGGCAACTGCTTAAGCTATTACCAATCAAATAATTTCTTTGCTTTGCTTCCACAGCTTCTGTATAAAACCTTGCCCCTAGCTCCTATCAGTGGAGCACTTCTAACCACTTTCAGTTTGGCACTGCCCAATCTGAAGCAATGTTTGCTCAGATAAACTTCAAAAAAAAAGTTAATGTGCCTCAGTTTACCTTTTAACAGTATGTTTAGGTGATTATTGACACTGAGAAGCCCATAAGTAGTTAGAAGTTTGGAGCTTGGGAGAGGGTAAAGGGAGTCTTGCACAAAAAAGGTCTTTCAGTTGAAACAGATGAGAAGAAATGGTCAAGGATGAGAAAGGAAAAAATAAGATTCTTGGGAAACAGTATCTCAAAAGAGAAAGGAGAGAGTAGCAGAGACAGAAGAATGAATGAGTGGCGGCCATAGGTAAAAGAAAAACACTAAAGTTCAGTTTCATGCAAATCAAAAAGTAGGTGGGATAGGGGCTGAAGTGCATTTAACCTCACAAAGAAGTTAAGATGGATTAGAACTGAGAAAAGGCCATCGAGTTTAGCAAATGGGGGTGCACTGGTGACCTTTCAGAGAGTAATACACAGAATGTATCATCTAGCATACATGGGTGGAATGCCCTGCTAGAAAATAAAGTTATTATTTTTTTCTCTGTTAATAGCAGAGATGAATAGGTTAAATGCTTAAATGTAAACCTGGAATGATATAACTCCTAGAAGAAAACGTAGGAGAAAACCTCCATGACATTGACCTTGGCCATGATTTCTTGGGTATGACACCAAAAGCATAGATAAAAAGCAAAAATAAACAAGTGGGAACACATCAAACTAAAAAACCCATCTCTTTCTTCACAGCAAAGGAAACGATTAACAGAGTGAAAATACAAACTATGAAATGGGAGAAAATATGTGTAAACCATGTATCTGATAAGGAGTTAATATCCAAAATATATAAAGAACTTCAACTCAATAGCTAAACAAATAAACAAACAAAAAGAAAAAAACCCAAAACAAAAAACCAAATAGCTCAATTAAAAAATGGCAAAGGACTTGAATGGACATTTCTATAAAGAAGAAATACAAATGGTCAGCAGGTACGTGAAAAGATGCTCAACAGCACCAGTCATCAGGGAAATGCAAATTAAACCACAATGAGATATCATCTTACACCTGCTAGGAATGCTATTATCAAAAACAAAGAAAGATAAGTGTTGGCAAGGATTTGGAGAAATTGGAACTCTGGTACACTGTTGGTAGGAATGTAAAATGATGCAGCTGCTATTGAAAATAGCTGGGAGGTTCCTCAAAAAATTAAAAATAGAAACATCATATAATCCAGTAATCCTACTTTTCCATATTTATCCAAAAAAATTGAAATCAGGATCTAGAAAGATATTTGTATACCCATGTTCACTGCAGCATTATTCAAAACAGCCAAGATGTAAAAAAAACCCTAAATGGCCATTGAAGGATGAATGATAAAGAAAATGTGGTATGTATATATAATGGATTATTCAGTCTTAAAAAAGGAGGAAATCCTGCCATATGGATGAACCTTGAGGACATTAAGGTAAGTGAAATAAGCCAGTCACAGAAGGACAAATACTGTATGATTCCATTGATATGAGGTATACATAAAATAGTCAAACACAGAAGCAGAGAGTAGAATGGTGGTTGTCAGGTGCTGGGAGGAGTTACTATTCAACAGGCATAAAGTTTCAGTTTACGTAAGATGATTAAATTCTAGAGCTCTGCTGTACAACATTTTGCCAGTAGTTAACAATACTGTATTGTACACTTAAAAGTTGTTAAGAGCGTAGATCTCATGTTGTGTTCTTATCACAGTTTGAAAACAAAAAGCAGAAATGTGTTTGAAGACCAGAGTAGCTCTTTCCACTGTGTTCCTGAACCCTGAGAGTAGATGAGGAACTGCAAGGGTGCACTTGACCTTGAAGGGCTGAGCATGTCCTGACTCAGGGCTCCAGGGCTGGCTTGTGGCTTGGAATGTGGCTACGCATGTGAAGGTCATTGTATTGAACTGTGTCAATGGCAGAAGCCAGGATGGAGAACTCAGGCCAGCATGAACCCAGATAGGACTCGTCCAGTTTGGCTGCTGCGCTGCCTCCAGCTCTCTTGTTTTCTGTAGGAAAGGACTTGCCCTAGTTTGGCTGGTTGTTCTTGGTAGAGACTGAACTCTATGAAATCTCCCTAGACTGGAGGGAAAACAGTGCCCCTCCCCCCATGCCCATAAATACCCTAATCAACCTCATCACAGCTTTATGAAGTTGGAACTATCATCCTCATTTTATAGATGAGCTTTGAGTTCAGGGGATTCGTGCAAGGTTGAATATCTGGTTTATATGCAGAGGGAGAGCTTGAGACCCATCAAAGAAAAGTGCTACAGAATTCTTACTTCACCATTAAGTAAAACTTTCTTTAGCCCTCTCTCTATTTATTTTTTCCTAGTACAACTGAGTTCCATGGGTCTCACAACAGAATCCAGAGATTAGCCTTAAAAAATACAAGTCTTCATAATTAACAAGGAATCTCAGTAAGATATGGCAATAGTCTCCTGCAGATGTGGAGGGAGATCCACCACTCTGTATCATAAAACTAAGTTGGACGAGGTATTAAGATTCTTCTCAAGAATATTAATTTGCTTCTCCTGTGCAAAATGAAGATTTACATGCTTTTTACTGGTACCGATTTCTTGTTTTCTGTTAAAATAAACCTGCCCTGCAAGTGTTATGCGAACCAAGGGATTTTGTAAGTTTTCTAAGACTTTAGAAATTGTTGCCATGCCTCATAAAAATCACCTCTTAAAAAACTGTCATTCTGATTGGCTGCTGCTATGAGTTGAACTGTGTTGCTCCTAAAGATAAAGACTTAACTCCCAATACCGTCAATGTGACCTTATTTGGGAAAAAAAAAGGGTCTTTGTAGATGATCAAGTTAAAATGAGGTTATTAGGGTGGGCCCTAATCCAATATGATGGGGTTCTTAAAGAAGGGACATTTGGACACAAGACAGACATGCAGGGGGAAGAAGATATGAAGACGCAGGGAGAATGTCATCTATAAGGCAAGGAGCACTTGATGCTACTAGAAGCTGGGGGAGAAGAATGGAATATATTCCCCTTCACAGCCCTCAGAAGGAACCAACACTACTGACACCTTGATCTCAGATTTCTGGACTCTGGAACTGTGAAACAAATTTCTTTTGTTTAAGCCACCCAGTTTGTTATGGCAGCTCTAGGAAACTAATACAGCTGTCCTGAAACTAATGTAGTAATTATGATATCTCCTTATCGGTAAGATTTGTTAAATCCAGACAGGATCACTGGGTACTTTCCTCCCACATGCACGATAGAAAAAATAAACTCTCAAATAACGTAAATCTATTTAAATTGATAGCCCTGATCTGATTACAAGTCCAGTGCTCTTCCATCACACCACAGCTGCACATGAGCATAACACTAAGCATAACTACCAGTTTATTTTTCTTCTATGATTAGCTTTTGCTTATTTTTTTTCATTGGTTGCTCTTTTCATTATTAATTTGTAAGTGCTTTTTAAAAAATTAGATACCTCATATTTGTTTTAGATGTTGCAAATATTTTCACCCAAGCTGTCATTTATCTTGAGCTTTTTTTAGAGGCATTATTTTCCATAGATATTAGAATCTTTATGTAACCAGGTATATTAACCTTTTCTTTTATGGCTTTTGAAGACTTTCCCCATTTCAAAAATGATCACAAAAATCTATTTTTTCCCCAATATTTTTAGTTTTTGTTTAGGAATCAAACTTCATTTTTTCCCAGATGGATAGCTAATTGATCCAGTGCCATTAATTGAATAATACAATCCCTCCCACTGATATGAAAGGCCACTTTCATCATAAATTCCTAAAGATACATGGGTTTGCTTGTGGCCTTTATTCACATTCTGACTTCACTTGCCTTTTTTTTTAGCAATGGGCGCCAGAATCGCATAAGCATATATTTCGAGTGGCCCTGATGGTGGACAACTAGAGTGCATGCATGGGCTGCCTTTTGGGGGTTACTGCTTAGCTCCAGTCATTTGCTGCCATGCAGAAATGTGGGCCTAATGTGGCCAGGTCTTCCAAGCTTTCAAGAGGTGCTAGACATCCAGATTTTTATATGACATCTGAAGTTTTGAAAGTGCTGGTAATTAGTTTTAATGTTAAAAACCATTATGTGGACAAAACATATTTGCAAGCTGAAAGCACAGTGGGGTATCACTTGGCAACCTGTTCTAGATGCTGAAATGTAATACAGAGTAAGGCCAGACTGGGTCTAGGTGTTCACCTCCAACTTTCTTCCAATGCCAACATTAAGAGAGGAAGAGTGATGCAGCAGCTTTGGAAACCAATGTTATTTTTAGCCATACCCTGGGAGACAGTAGTGTTGTGTCTCATCTCTTCTTACCCACTTGAGTTGATGATGTTGTTCCTGGCTTGCCCAGCAACCAAGAAGTAGTAGGTCAGTTTGGGGAAAGGGATGGTTGCATTAGTCAACTTGGGCTTCCCAGACTCTGCCAGCTGAGTGACACAGGAGGAATGAAAAGTGATAGAGCAAGGATAGAGCAAGATTCTGGTCCTCCAAAACAAGCTGGAAAGTGATGTCATCTCCTTTCTAATAATAATGCTGCCTCCCTGGATACTCAACTCGACATTGTTTAATCAGTAAAGTAATGGCATTTAACAAGAAGACTCCAACATGGAGAATAGGATTTACTAGCAGCAAAGACAACTCACGTGGTCGAACATCAGTGTTTATAGAGAGAATCCCTTCACGCACATTGCCTCACTGTCTCTCACAACAACCCAGTGAATTAGGCACAGGGAAGAGGAAACAGAAGAGAAAGGCAACACTAAAGGGCAATTAGAATGGTTTTTAGATGGCTCTGAGGTATGCAGGAAGGATATATGGGAGAATAAAAGACTGCAGATCCCTTTTCCTCGTTTCCATCTCTGCAGAATCATTTATTCACTCAACAAGTCCTACTGAACACCTCCAATGGGAAAGTCATTCTCCTAGGCCTTGGGAATCTAGCAGCACCCGGATCCTAGGCATTATCCTTCCCTTTGGCTGGGTTAGTTATCCTTACTCTGAATCATTACCCAGGCTGGCCTTTGCTCTATTCTTCTCTGGTTGTAGTAGTGACCTCAGGCCAACTTTCCCATTTTGCTCCAGAGTCCTTGGTTGTTTTCTTGGCTATCGATCACTTCCTGGAATGCACTGATCCGTTCCAGGAATACAACGTGCTTTTCTGTTTGAGGCATAGACAATGGGTAGACTAAGACCCAAATCCTAACCGCGCCTTAATTCTGACCTACTTTTAAAATGTTTCAGGCAGTTCACACAATTCTTGAGGGCGGGAATAGCATATATTTTCTCTTGAAGGAGGAAATAGAGCTCGGCTGATGAGGTGGCAAGTCTCCAGGAAATGGTGAATAAACCTCTTCTCAATATTTGTCAACTTACATCTTTGTCCCTGATGCCCCCATCTTTTGGGGTATGTGTCTGAGGAGCACGAATAAGCAGGGGAAGGAATATGTAGGGCATATGCAGGGCAGCCCACCAGCTCTACACGTTTAAGACCCCATCAGATTATGTTCTGCAGGCAAACATATTCTCCCACTGACCGTAGTGGGTAGAACTATATCCTTCCAAAAAGATATGCTCAAGTCTGAAACCTCAAAACCTATGAATGTGACCTTACTTGGGAAAAGGGTCTTTGCAGATGTAATTATGTAAGGATCTCAAGATGAGATCATCCTCGATTAGGGTGGGCCCTAAATCCAATGACTTAGATTTGGTATCCTTATAAGACAGACAAGGAGAATACAGAGATGGAGGGCCGAAGGCCAGGTGAAGATCCACATGAAGACAAGGCAGAGACTGGACTTATGCTACTACAGGCCGAGGAATGCCAAGAATTGCTGGCAGCCATGAGAGAAGGGAGAAAGGCATGGAATGGGTTCTCCCTCAGAGCCTCCAGAAGGAACTAACCCTGCTGACAACCTTGATTTTAGGCTTCTGTGAGCAAAACTGTGAGCAAATAAACTTATGTTGTTTTAAGCTGCCAAGTTTATGTTACCACGGTCCTATATCGCAGACATGATTCACTTTTCCCCTTTGAGCAAGGACTACTTTGGACAACTTGACCTGAGAGTACAGCCTTCATTCTTTCCCCTGAGGCCTTAGGCAACAGTTCATAGACAGCTGTATGATGCCCAGAGACACCATGAGTGTCCACCTAGCCGGTGTCTGTTCACCGGCAGAAGAGACCTGGGGACCCTTGTGAGGTGCTGGGCTCTGTAACTTCAGAAGGAGTGGGATAGATGGGGTCGATGTCTTCATCCATGTCAGATCTCTCTGTTCCAATCTCAGCCCTTTCTTCCAGTCTGATCCAAAAGCTGTTTTCCAGCTGTTCTTCAGCAATTTCTAGCTCTTCCTCTGTTTGTAAAATGGCCACGGTTTCCCGGGGTAAGTGTGAGGAATACAGCCCAAGTTTGGCTTTAGAACCAAACTTTGCCTCATAAGGACTTTGCTGCAAGGAAATGTTGAAGGCCTGATTCCTCATCATCTGCATGAAGCACAGGCCTTCGGCCCAGTGACATGAGTGGTTACTTTGCATCCAGGCACTTAGCATGTTCTTGATATCATGGTGTGCTCGCTCCAGGGAGCCTTGGCCTTGGCCAGGGTGGTACTTACCAGAGACAATCTTTAGGTCTGGCCATACTTCATTGAGTTCATTAACAACCTGGTTTCTGAACTCTACACCACTGTCAGATTCTAACACGTTGGGTGTACCAAGAATTGTGAAAATATCCAATAGTACACTGATGACCTCATGGGCTTGTTTGGCTTTTAATGGTCACGAGAAAATAAACTTGGTTAAGTGGTCCTGGTAATATAAAATAAACTTGAACTTGCCATTGGCATTTGACTGCATGCCAAGTGTTTCAACTTGGCATCTGGAGTCAATGTCCTTGAAAGGCATGGGCTTGGGCACAAGGCCTCTCTTGGATGGATATAGGGTTCCTCTGATGGCACTGTTTACACAGAGTCAGATATAAGACAATGACTTCTTTGGTCATATTCTCATATTTTCCTTGCAGCTCCTTGAGCATGTGTGTCCGCCCACCATGTCCAATATTGAGATGTGTATCATGAAGAATATCAAACTCTATGTACATAATACCGTGTTTGATCTCGTTCTCCGTAAGTAGCCTCTATTAGTTTCTCTGTGCCTTGTACAGAGATCATGTCGTATTTTGCTGCATGGCGATAATCATGTGATGACTTCTTCCCCTTCTCCTTAGCTTCTTTGACTTCCTTTATTGTTTGAAAGTACTTTTCTTTGGAAAATACATTGCTGTTGTAACTTTTGCTTTCTACTAACTTTGTTTCGCTTAGAAGAAACTTTTCTCTCATGTTACTTATCTTCATTTCCATTTCACTTGTATTTGAAACAATGGTGGGGTCACTTCTAGCTCTCTGTGGCATCATGGAGAACTGCAAGAAGGATCCTAAGAAAGGAAGAAAGAAACAGGACAAAGTTAAATTTTCTGATATTCCATCTGGAAGACCTTCTCTCCAAAATTCCTCATTAATTCTTTTATCTGGTTTTAAAGACTACTATATGGAAGAAAGATTAAATGTAGTAATAGAATAAAGTGGTAACAAAATAAAGCAACTAGAAAGCCAATTAGGATGATTCAAAACCAGAGCATGTCAATAGAATTTCAAGTCAACATGCAGTAATTTTAGATTTTAGACAAACAAAATAAATAATGAAACCATTAGCTCATATAATGAAACCTAACTACTAGTCTTTATAAACTGAATAGGAGTGGGGATAAATGGAGATCCCTAAGGCAGTAAGCTAATATCTTACCTTCCCTATCCTCTAAAATAATATAAATGGGAAAATGTTGCTAGAAGTTGCCACATGATACAGTAGTCCCCCCTAATCCGTGGTTTTGCTATGATTTTGGTTAATTTGGAAAATTCCAGAAATAAACAATTCATGAGTTTTAAATTATGCACCATTCTGAGCAGTGTGATTAAATCTCTTGCTATCCTATTCAGTTCTGCCTAGAATGTGAATGATTTCTTTGTTCAGTGTAACCACACTGAAGACACTATCCAACCATTAGTCACTTAGTAGCCCTCTAGGTAATCAAATGGACTGTCCCAGTATTCAGTGCTTGTGTTCTAGTAGCACTTATTTTACTTAATAATGGCCCCATAGATATTCACATAACATTACAGTATATTGTTATAATTGTTCTATTTTATTAATTATCGTTAATCTATTACTGTGTCTAATTTATAAATTAAACTTTATCATAAAGATATATGTTCAGGAAAAAACATAGTATATGTAAGTTCGGTACCATCTGTGGTTTCAAGCATTCACTGGGAGCCTTGGAATGTAACCCCCATGAATAAGGTGTGGGGCTACTGTAATAGCAAACTCTGAACTTGAAATTAGCACCAGGGAGAGCTTTTAGCCTTAAGACAATTAACATAAACAATTTCTTGTGGCTGAAGAGGTCTGTCCCCAATTTAGGAGAATCAAAGAGAAAGCGGTAGGATATTTTTATATTATGGTTTTACCCTGTCAATTGCACATAGGATTAGCAAATGAAGATTCTGAGTCTTTACCATGAGGGACCATGTTCTCCTATCTGTCCAGCAGTCCTTCTGAGAAGCTTCCAAATACTTCCAACCTTTGGTCATGTCCTCAAATGTTGCTGCCACAGGGACCATTCTGTCTGGGGAGCCTGGGCTAAGAAACAGCTGCAGCAGGACTGGGGAACAGACAGTGGAAGGTGCCAGGAACAAAAGCGTGCCAACATAAATGACTCTGAATGTGAGTCATGTGAACATTATATAACAGGAAAGATAACAGAAGTAAAAGTCTCATATTCAATAAGAGGACTCCAACTCGGTGGGTGAGGAAAAGGAGTTTTGCCTTCCTGGAAGGTCTCTGGGCCTAGCTTGTTTTGACACTGCCTGAGCTGAAGCCTACATATTTCTACAACAAAGCAGAGTCCAAGGGAACTCAAACACTCCTAAGCTGGGAAACACTTTCTGATACAGGCTTGATGATTCTGAATAGAGGTAGCAGGATATGTTTCCAGAAATGGAAAAATTATACCTATGTACATAGAGACACATCAGATTATCATGACCCCCCAAAAGAGATACCCTAAATGGAGTCCATACTCCACCAAAATTGGAGAATTCCTCAGGGAGAGAACTTGATACTCAGATTATCTAAACCAAGATTCCTTTGTTGGAACAACTCCAGGATATGTGATGGTGATGAGGCCAGGGGAAGAGTTCGTATGATCACAGGCATTCCAACAATCTTAGGAAAACAAGATCCTTGGGATCCCAGCCATTACATGAAGAGTTGAGGGGCAGAGCTGAATCCTGAGAAGCAGAGAGAGATGGAAATGTTTAAAAGCCCTAAGTAAGAGTCTTACTTAGGCTGAGTCTGCTTCCAAGGTCCTGAAGTTTCTCCAATAGAAATATTTCAAATTCCCTTGTTCAGCATGGTTAACCATGGAACATTCCTGATTCTAAGACATTACTGTTAAACCATTAACTTAATGACAACTTTGAGAGGAAAACAGAACCTAGATTAAATGAACACATTCAAATTTAAAAACGTGAAAATACACATTTCAGAATTGAAGAAATAGAATGTTTGCACAATGCTCTTTAAGTGTGAGCTTAAGATCCTTGGTGCAAACTGAAATTTAGAGTACTGAGAAGTCCTGCAACAAACTAACGCCCCGCCCCGCCTGCCCCTCATTTGTTTCATTTACCAGTGTCATTTAATCACTGACATGGAACTGTTTTTGAAGAAATATTATCAGCCCACAATCCTAGTGGCCTCAAAAGGTGTGACCTTGAACCAAGCCATTCACTCAGGTCCCCTGCAGCAAAGTTGAGTTGATCACCTATTTCCCTACATTGTTCATAAGAAATGCCTCTGGCCTGGAAAGAAAACTGCCTTCATCATTCTATTTAAATTCTTAAAGTGAGGAAGGGCAGGGGCACACATAGTCAACACTGTACACCATTTTACTCAACCCTTTGCGAACTTCCATTTTAGATGATATTTTAAGTTTTGGTCTAATGGAACCAGCACCTGCATAAATGATAGTAAAGGATGTCCCCAGGTAGTCCAGACTGAGGCTTCTCAGTGTATCCTAACAGCTCGAAGCAGTGGTCTAGATGCTACTGGAAAGCCCCAGCAGCTCCTCTCATACTTTATCCAATGGCAATATAAAACTCTTATGCAAAAAGTTTTAACATGCTGTTCACATAATAATATCCATTAGGAGGAAGGCAGTTAAGACTAGCTTTAAGAGAGGCAATGTTCCCAACTAGCTTTTCATCTAGGCCTTATCAACGAACCATATGTACCCCAAAATGCTGCCTGTTTAAAAAAAAAAAAATCACTATCTTATTAGGCCTGATTTCAGAGAACTGTTAGAAAGCCACAAAGTAGGCCTGACTCCAAAAAGCAAATGTCATCTAAACTTCCCTGAAAACTAACCCACTGAAAACTAGGTATTATCCCAAATCACCACGCATAACACAAAAGCTCTTCATTTACAAGTTTTTAATGAAAACTGTGTATGATTACTTTATTCCTGCATCTTCTCAATTGTTTCTTCCTTATATTTGCCCTTTTCCTTTCCTACTTGGCGAGATTTGGCTTTACGTTCAAGGATCTTTTTGCGGTCTTTGTCCAGCTTTAGTCTAGTGATAACCACCTGCAGAAAAATTAGAAAACAAAACAAAGCACAACACTTCTAAGTAACAGTACAGAACACACGGGAAGGCCCAACCAACATTCAATTCAATTTACCAAACTTAGGGCAGTAGAAACCTGATCATTAAATGTTTAACTCAGAAGTGCCGGAAATGATTCCTCAGCTCCCATAACTACAGGAGTGGGCAAGTAATGTAAGTTAGCAGGTGGCTTGGGACCGAGGGAAACAAGAGTGCAGCCTCTATCTAAAGGGAGCTGCTGTATCTCAACTCCAGCTAGGTAGCAAAGTTCCCAGTATGGCTAGATCTTCCCATTTTCCAGGAAAGTCAAAAATCTAGATTTTTACATGAAATCTCCCAATCTGTAAATATAGGTAAATTATTCAGATTGTTTTTAAAAAACACTGGATGGACCAACCAAAATAAGTCTCTTAGCCAAATGTGGCTCTTAGGCTGTGCTTTAGAATTTCAAGGTATAGAATAAGGACCATATCTCATATTAAAGACTGTGATTATCCATCTTTTGATTATAAATTATTTCCAGCCTTTCTTCTAAATTCTTTTTTAGAATAGAGATGAGGCTTTTACTTCCTGTGCAGGCTCTGGAAGGCCCTCAGATTGTGGGCAGTGTAGCCACTCAATTTCTGAGAGATTCTGGTTTTAGTGAGGAGTCTAAAAGGTACTTTCCTGGATCCTACTGAATACCTGGAACTTATACTAGTATGTATGTGTGTGTGTGGTGGTGGGGGATGGAATGATGGAGAAAAGGGGCTAAATCATACAGGGTGATGAGGCGAAGCACTACCAATAGGGCTACATTTGAACAAGACACTGGAAAAATATCCTGAAGAAAACAGCAAGTACGAAGGTCCAGAGACAGGTGTTTCTCAAACTTGAGTGTGTCTAAGAATCCACTTGAGGGCTTAAAACAGATCCCTGGGTCCCATTCCCAAATTCTGCTTCAGTAGACCTGGGAACAGAACTTATAATTCTATCAAGTAGCTAGGTGATCTGGCTAACCACTGGATACACTCTGAATAGTTGTAGGAGCAGCAAGGCCAGTAGACTGGAACATGGAGAATGGTATAAGATGACATGAAGTGGCTAGCGAGGGTATATTAGCTAAGGCAGGAGTCTCCAACCCCAGTATGGCTAGATCTTCCCATTTTCCAGGAAAGGGTCTCCAACTCCAGGACTGTGAACCGATACCAGTCTGTGGCCTGTTAGGAACCAGGCCACACAGCAGGTGGAGAGTGGTGGGTGAGTGAATGAAGCTTCATCTGTATTTGCAGCTGCTCCCCAGCACTAGCATCACAGCCTCAGCTTCACCTCAATCATTGGGCATTAGATTCTCATAGAAGAACCGGTCCCTGGTGTCAAAAAGGTTGGAGACCACCGAGCTAAGGTTTTGCAAGGCACTCTGATGGTTAACAAGCAGTCAGGATTCTGGATTTAACGAGACAGTCGTCAACAAGTCTTAGTGACTGACGTAGAACATATTAACACGTGGCAAACTGTGAGAAGTTTCAACGATAAAAACAGGAGTTTGAACATGTCAGGTCTGAGATAAGTTAGACATCCAAGTGGAAATGAAAAATAGACAAATGGACATTGAGGTCTGGGTTGGAGTCATCTGCTTCTAGATATTTGGAAGTGCTAAAGCTGGAATAAGAGATGAAGATGACTACTGAACCACAAACTGAGGTGGAGTGTCATGATGCCTGTAATGCAGGGATGGGGAAAAGGGGGAAAGAAAATGTGGCAAAATGTCAGTAGTGAATATAGGTCAAAGATACGCACGTGTTTTACTGTACTAGTCTTTTGACTTTTCTGTAGTTTGAAAATTAGATTTATGGTGGCAACTTGAAATCATAAACCTCAGTATCTGAACATTTACACATGCACTTATTATGTTTACGGTAAACATAACTAGAGACAGTGATATCGGAGAATTCACATTAAAGTCCAGGCAGAGGACAGATATTTGCTATGGGTATCAAGATCAGATTTTCTATCTTGGCTGAGATATCATTTGTAAATGGCTTAATACCTACTTTGCAGAGTTATAAAGCTGCCTTACTGCTAACTCAACTGTTTAATACACAAAAGCAAACAGGGTATAAGCTCCATTTCACCTAAGATTATCCTGTTTCCTGGATTTTAAGATCTGTTCATTGTTAGATTGTTGACTGAGCAGCTTACTAATAGCTTTTGAGGAAAAAATACTTTATATTTCTATGGGACTGCCTGGTAAACAAGAAATCATATTTGCCAACAATTGCTTTAATTTTCTTCTCCCCTCTCAAGCATTCCCAAAAACACCTACCTTGCTGGGGTGAATGCCGACATGAACAGTTGTGCCATTAGCCTTCTCCCGCTGCACTCGTTCAATGTAGATGACGTATTTCTTCCTGTAAACCTGGACTACTTTGCCAATTTGCTGCCCTTTGTAGTGTCCTCGCACAACCTAAATGCAAATTCAAAAATAACAGAAATATGCAGACAAAAAACCCCCCACTAATTTTGTTAAGTCAGGATAACTGAATCTTGTGTACATCATTCAGTCAGATCTATAAGACCTTTCAATTTTAAAACACTTAGTTTTTAGTGGAAATGAGCCAATAATTCTATCTCTGGCTTTAATTATAAACCTGTAAGCAAACCACACCCTTATATAAATCTACAGTCACAGGCAGTTGCACCTGTACAACTGACGGTCCAACAGTGTGGGCTTGTCACAAGTTCACCATGGCTTTCTGTAGCCAGTCAAAAACAAGGAAATCAACCCATCTCAAAGGGAGCAACAGGCCACGAGTATTTCATTCACAACCCATTTAAGTGTCCAACCTAGTGTCAGAATAGGCAGTAGCAGATACTTAATGAAATAAACCACTTCTGTCCCAAAGGTTACATAACATAGTTTTCCACCCAGGAGTCCCAGTGATCTCCAGCTTGTCAGGAGGGAACCCAAAGTACTCCTGGACTGATGTTTCTTTCCAGTTGCAGGCTTTCTTGGATTAATATATCTTGAGAGCAGAGAAGACTGCCTTCTAAATCTAATGGCAATCTTAGCACCAGCAAGCAACAGCCAATGGTTGTTTGCAATTCACACCACTATTTGGGAACTGGTTTCATTTACCTAAATGGGTGCTAACCTCATGAAATAATATTGGTGATATGCAAGCCACTTTAGAGACTGCTAGAATCCTTGCTGAAGGTTACAGCTAAGTAACATTTAGAGAAATTTTCACTTAATAGATTTGACAAATTATTTTCTAGTAAACTCAATCACATGAAACCATGGTTCTGTTAGAACTCCTGTATCTGGATTTTGATTCAGATTGTTTACTGGTCTTCAAATGCCCCATCAATGACTAAACATATGAAGAAAATGATCAACCCAAAGTAACATTCTGTCCTTTCTTGTTCTTGTTTAATCACGGCTGCATCTGATGCTTGGGGAAAACTAGTAAAAGTGAAGTAAGAACTGAAAAGCAGCATACTTTTTAGTCCCTGGCTCAACTCCTTTTGCAATCCTGGGAGCAAACATCTCAGATGTATCACTCTCAGAATGCATTCCCTTTTCTATGCCAAGTGTGCAGGATATTTACCAAGATAACCTGAACACAGTACATACCTGAACCTCATCATCTTTTCTTATAGGCATGGATCGAACATTGTACTTCTGTCTCAGCTCTTTGGAAAGAGGAGAAGACATAATCTTCCTGCGAATGTGGGAAGGTGCATTGAAATGCCTTTTACGGTTCTTGCTCCGGTCAGAAGTCACAAAGGGGTTGAACTTCATACTGGCTAAAAAGTTAAAATAGGTGTAAACCCTTAAATCACCAAAACCTCATTCAGTTTCCAAACCAGTAACAGCAACAATCTCATCTTCAAAATTTAGAATGCTCACAGAAACTGTAATGTTCTTTAACTCTCATCAGAAATTGCTTGAACTCAGCGGCCTATTGAAGCTTAAAATTAAAAAATTCTGCTTTCCTGAGATGCCTTCAATATTTGTTTACAGAAAAATATTTTTCATTACTAATACAGTTGTTTTAGTTATTCGACTTTGTTTACTCTCCAAACTGAAGTCACGCAACAGGACTTTTACCTCTGCTGAATTAGGGTAAAGCAGACAGACAACTCAGTTCTTCAAACATATAGAGATCAACCAACGCTAATCTACGGACTTGAATATGAACATATATAGCCCTCTCCAAAATGAATGCATCAGGCCACCCTTAGGAAACCTAAAAAATTCTGCACAGATCACGGGTCCAAAAAGCCTTACAATGGGTGAACACGGCCTGGAAATTTCATGGCTTTGCCAAGAACTTATTTCGAGACCATTCTTTAGGAAACTACACAGCCCAGACCTGACTTCACCTCGACAGAAAACCTCCCTCCTAGCTCCCGTTTGCGTCCCAAAATCTATTCTCCCTTCCCCAGCCCGGCCCTTGTGCTAAGGGGAAAACAGATTGAGACCATCTTAGTCCCTCTCTTTGGCTGCTACTCGGCCACTAGAAGAGTATCGAGGCTCCCAGGATCAAGAGCCACCGCGTCCGTGAACGGATGGCTACGGATTACGGATGCGTTCCTAGTAAATCCTCACCCGCTGGAGTTTCAGCGATGGCCACAGAAGGGAAGAGACCCACACGCTACTTCCGGTTGTGTAAGTTTA